CCTCGAGGGGGGGGGGGCGGCTGGAGATGCTCTAAGTATACAGTAGCATATTTGACAGATGAGCATTGGAAACTCTTCTAAATATGTGTTTAGCATTTAACAATGAACTATGTAATTTAATCAATAGACTCACTTCGGTTGCCATGCTAACTGAAAATCTATAAGTCAAATGATGCGACTGTCAAGTGGAAGTTACTTATATTTTTTCTTACGTCACTTGAGAAGTTTCTTTTTAGCAAGCTTATTTAAGTGCAGCCGAAGTGTACTATGTTTTTTAGACGATCTGCATGTTTTCTATTGAGATCAGAGAGCGGCTGAAGTAGTGATGGGACTAAACCATTTTTAGGTTCTGAAGGCAAAGCTTCTTACAGAGTTAGTCACATTTGTCAGTCCTGTGAGTAGAAGAAATCTTGATAGCTTGTTGCTTCTGCTCAGTGTGCTTGGTGCATAAATTGATTACTTGCTGCAAATGTTGTTTAGTGTCCTATTTCATGGTAGCTGCGGATGCTATATATTTGGTGATTTTGTTGCCGGTATTTGGAGTGCTAGGAGAGTTTCTAAACTACTGTCACGGCATTATAGATAGGATAGTGAACCAATGTGACATATGTATAACATTTCATGTGAGATCCTTTGCAACAAACAGTATGAGCGAGCGGTCCATATATTATTTTCATCAAGCCGTACAATTTTTTGGTTAGGATAGAAGGGTTGTTGGTTGCTTCAAGAGTTAATAACGAGGGCCCCAGCGTGAAATGTCCTGTTAAGACGGGAATCCGAGCGGTAAGTGGAATGTCCGACAAGAAAGGTAAGTGTGCGTCGTGGGGTGGGGTTTTTGTGTTGGGACCGCATGTTGGGATAATATATGGGTTGGATTTGTGGTGGTGGTGGGGGGGGGGGGTCCGGACTATCCAGACAGTTAAATTTTGTGGAGCTTGCTTAATGTCCTAACATGCTCGGATGTATGAGGAATAAGATTTGACCTTGGATATGACCATTTGTGTGATATATTTGTATGCATTGTAGCCCGGGGGGACTATCCAGACGGTTAAATTTTGTGGAGCTTGCTTAATGTCCTAACATGCTCGGATGTATGAGGAATAAGATTTGACCTTGGATATGACTATTTGTGTGATTTATTTGTATGCATTGTAACCCGTAGTAACGCACGGGTGTACTACTAGTTCCTCTAAGATCACAGTGTTCTTGCTAATATGCCATGGCAAGCTCTCCCAAACATGATCACGACCCGCTTGGTTTCGAACTGTTCAGCAAACATGTGTTTTTTTCTAGCAACCGAGCAATCGAGCCCCTTGGGTTGTCCTAGGCCAGGCGTAAAACGATGAAGATCGTCTGGACGTGGAGTAACGTGCGGTGCAAAACTTTAACTGCCAGCAACCACTTCAAATCACCTTCCTCTTCCAGGTCGTTGATCACCAACAAGGTTGCCTTCTCTTCGAAGATCTCGAGCCTCATGAGCGCCTCATCCATTTGCACACTTGCTGAGCGTGGGGTAAGGAGTGCCGCCCTTGCCTTTGTCCCTCCTGTCCGGTTGATGTTGCCATCCTCCATTGATCGCCTTTGCGCACCGCCGATCAGATCCATGAGCGTCGCCAGTCCACCGCCGCCCTAGCCGCCAAATAGGTTTTTAGGAGTTCAGGAAAAACGGAAAAGTAACACGGGCCGGTTGTGTCCGTCCTAATTTTTGAAAACATGACTAAGGACATATTTTATACACGAAGTAGAAAAATAGATGAGTACAACAATACTGACTCGCGGTGCAAAGGGAGAACTAGAGGGCAATTAATTGAGGAACGCTTGTTCGGGAGCCTCCCCAAGGGTCACTTGCGGTGGGCTGAGACCACTCAGCCGCCGTCACGTGTCGCGCTCTGGGTGCTCCCTCCGGATTTTCTAAAAAAATCGGCACGTGTTTTTGGCTTTTTAGAATTTTTTTGGCTGTTTCTGCCTTTTTGGTTTTCAACCAGTCTTTCTTAGCTTTTGGACTAATATTTTTTGCGAAAAAACATGTTTTCTTTTTCTTTCGCGGGAGTCGTCCCTCTTGGAAACAAAAAAACTCATATTTTTCCTTCAGCGAGAGGCACGGCCGCGCCTCTCGAAAACAAGAAAAATACGTTTTTTCCTTCCACAAGAGGCATGGCTGTGCCTATCAGAAACGGAAAAAAATTCAATTTTTTTCATTACGTGAGAGGCACGGATTTGGTTCTGCGGGAGACGCGGCCGTGTGTCTCGAAAATGACTTTAGAAAAGGGAAAAAATGGCACGGTCGGTCTTTCTTTTTCTTTTTAGATGTTCGTCTGTTTTTTTCGTGAAAGAACAGTTCATCAAAACCTATTAATACAAGATCTAATTTTGAAGATCTCGACGCGATGAATTCAACGATGAAAACGGTTTAAAATTTGAACGCATGATTTAAGAGATAAAATGTTTTAAATAAATTGATCTACAATATTAAAAAAGAAAAAAAAAACTCTACTTGCGAGAAGTGGTGCACGTGCAACACGCCACAAGTGCACTGACCTTGGGTCGTGTGGGCGGCGATGTTGCCGTCGAAGCTGGTCGTCGTCATGTCGTCTACGATAACCGGCGCTTTGCTTGTGGGTGGTTGCCTCTTCACCTCTGCGGGAGAGTCCCGGTCTGCTCCTCCCATTGCAGTCTCGACTTCTTCTTTCCAGCAGTGGTGGGAGACAGGCTAGCTCGGCGGAGCGGGGCTTCCCGTGGACATGTATTTGGTTTTCGCCTGGTTTTTCCTAATTAACCGAGCAACTATTTTCTTCTTAATAAAGCAGTAAGCTGCCATTTTGAAAAAAACAAGCGATTATGACATATGAAAACTGAGTTATTAACATTCTCGTCTAGGCCGAGGGAAAAGAGAGATTGTCCTTCAATTAGCCTGGCCCAAATCATAGCAGCACAAGCGGCCCACATTTCTCTCTAAAAAAAAAAGCTAATGCCCACATCTCCGCCACGTCACGATCCGCACCACAAGCCTCCCACAGCATCCCACCTTCCGATCGCAATCCAACGGCCCAACTCCACCATCTCACGGATGGACCCAGCAAAGCGCCAGAGAGCAGACACCTCCCGCCTCCAACTCCCCAAAACTTTGGGCTTCCCTCCCAACTCCTTCCCATATAAGGCCGTCACCTCCGATTCCCAAATCCATCCCAAGCATCAACATCCGCGGCACTCCCTTCTTCCCTCAAATCCAGCGACGATGTCCGGGCGCGGCAAGGGCGGCAAGGGGCTGGGCAAGGGCGGCGCCAAGCGCCACCGGAAGGTCCTCCGCGACAACATCCAGGGCATCACCAAGCCGGCGATCCGGAGGCTGGCGAGGAGGGGCGGCGTGAAGCGCATCTCCGGCCTCATCTACGAGGAGACCCGCGGCGTCCTCAAGATCTTCCTCGAGAACGTCATCCGCGACGCCGTCACCTACACCGAGCACGCCCGCCGCAAGACCGTCACTGCCATGGACGTCGCCTACGCGCTCAAGCGCCAGGGCCGCACCCTCTACGGCTTCGGAGGCTAGACGCGTGGTGTGCTGTGTCCTGTGCTGGTGGCGGCGGCCGTGTTTTTCTGTGTTATATGTGCCGTCGTGGATGGGATGTACTTCTCTGTCGTGCGTTTGTGCTCACCAGTCTGCAATACCATTATCCGTTCAATGAAAATACTCCGATCCTGAGTTCTGACGAATTGCTTCAGTGATGAAATTGTTTTATAAGACTGGCTGATTTCATCTGTTCATTTTACCTTTAGATAGTATAGCTGATCAATCTTTTGTCATGCATTGCAATGTGCACTGAGTGCTTCCGCTCAGTTACCCACAGTAGTACTGCAGTTGCCATGTTTAATTTGGGTTCAGTGGGAATGAATCCCGTTCTTTTCTGCAGTATTGTGAGCAAGGTAGTGCACAAGGATCGGGATTCAGGATCTAAAGTTGCTGAGATCTTGGAGTCCTGCAGATATTTCTGAATCAAGCCTCTGAAGCATCTATCAGAGTTTGAAATGGTACATGCGACATTTATAAGTCTAGAGTGTAGAACAACTGTTTGAGGCTCTGCAGTCTGCAGCACTAAGCAGAGGCTTTCTTCCTAATAATCACCTCATTCCTCAGAGGAATGTATTGTAGAGATTATGTTCTTTTCCTATGACCTTGTGCCTGATAAGAATACACATGATGATTCCCTTTTCTTTTATTGAGAAATTGTAGGTCGCTGTCACTAATTCTCTAGAGCAGGAAATTACTTGTATGTTTTGCTTCATACCACTATTGAGTTTTTTTGTTTTTCCTCTCTTTCATGTTACCCTAGTCTCTTTTTATCTTCTTTGTCATTCTTTCATGCCGCTGTTAACCATGCATCTTATTATCCATTGTTTGGTGTGCATTTTTGACTTCCAATGGCAAGCCAATTAATATACTTGCCATTTTGCCAAGTATAGCATGCTAGCTTAGTGTTTTGACTTAATTGCTGAGAAGATAATCGAAGATGGTTTCTTCTAGTGAAGTCATTATTTTCATGTACCTTTACCTTGAGGTTTTGGAGCACTTCTCCGGCTTACAAACTATAGGAGGTTAATTCAACCCCAGCAAGATTCCTAAAACTAGAGAAAACATCACTGCTATGTTTCTTGTCAATTAAATTAGTATTCGCGTTTGAAGGTATGACAGAATTTATAAAAGAAAACATTGGCCATTTTCGGTAACCTATAATACATGTGATCTCCAATCGTAGATCAATGCCATTTGGAAGATTCAGTTTCAACGGACCTTCCAAATTATGACCATTTGTAGGCTCTAGCATTTGGGCGCTGCTCCCAGGACATGTTCAGGAAAATACCATCCATGAAAACATGGAAAGACATATGGGACTAGTTTTTTTTTTGTGTGGATCACTCTCTCACATCGAACTGACGAGAGAATTTGAGCAGAGCATGACATAGGACAGTTTTTTTACACGCCTCGGCTAGATTTTTATGGCTTCCTTTTGTTGACAAACTCGTTTGTACATTCCGCACCCTGGGAGGGTGAGTGTGTTGATTTCCATGTTTTAATAGTTTGGTACCTGCAAAAACATACTCCCTCCGTTCCGAATTACTCGTCGCAGAAATGGATGTATCTAGTTCTAGATACATCCATTTCTGCGACGAGTAATTTGGAATGGAGGGAGTACTAGTTTGGTACCGTTGGATGTAAAAACCCATAAAAATCAACGGTTCAGATCCATTAGTGAGGTATAAGAGGGACCATCTTTGAATTAGGGTAACACAGTGGTAGCCATGTTTTGTGATTTATGGATGTGGCGATACATTAGGCGACGTTTTGATACCAGGTTTATTCAAGCTCGCGTGACCGCCGCGCCACATCTGCTAATTGAACTTAAAGGTTTCGCCTATCTGATCAGTGTACAGTCCGATTTCTGCCCAAGGATCACAAGTAATTCATAGGCACTGATCTCAACTAAAAAAACTTGTCAATTACTCATACATGTACATGCTGTAATCAGAGGAGGGAGCAACAATTTAACGCCCCCGGGCAAAAATATACCATCGCAAACAATGATAACACATCATTCAGGTTCAGGCACAGCCAGATCAACAGGGAACGCATGCAAAACTAACCACGTACCTACTAAATACTAAGCTGGAGGCGGCTCGCTCCCTGGCTTCTCTGCCGTCGGCCCATGGAAAGGGGCGACGACGAGTCGACGGAGCCGTTGAGGGCCATGGACGCGACGGCCTTGGCCCACGCCATGAGCTCCCTCTTCATCCGCTCCTCGTCGCCCCAGATCACCGGATCCACGAGCTGATCCTTGCCTGTGGCGATCAGCAACGCCGGCGCCTCCACGACGTCGCCGGTGACTGCGAGTGGCCGGAAGATCTCGGGTCCCGTGGCCATGCCCGCACACCACTCCGGCCGAGTAGTGCGAGCTGCCTTTCGCGAGCCGTACCGCTTGCGATCGCCGATGAAATGCGAGCGGGAGCTGCGGATTTGCGGAGAGCTTAAGAGTGTTGTGCGTGGAGGAAGGTAGTAGCAGTAGGCCTATGGCGAGGGATGAACAGCACCGCCCTGTTTTATATGCGCCTCCGGAGGCCGGCCGGCCGGGGTTGTCACCGTGTCAGGCGTTGTGTGGCGCCGAGAGCACCGCGTCTGCTGGGATCGGGTTCTGGATGGAGGGGAGTTGGCTAGGCCAACTCCACCGTGCGACCCTATCCTGTCCGGCCCCGTCCGTTTGGGGTAAAAGAGATAAAAAAGGCGGTCCAGCGCACGGGAGCAAACGGACTTTTGTCCGCTTTGTGTCCGCTTTCGACCCATCCCCGGCCCAAACTTGCGCCGGTTTTGGGGTGAAACGGACAGCGCGCGGACGGGCGGGACGCGCGCGCTTGTCCTCCCCTGGCCCGCCTGTCGGTGGGAGAAACCAAAAACCCCCCGACGGCCATTTGGCGCCATTTCCC